CGGTATCCTTGCAGTAAACGTGTGAAAAGCGATCGCGTTTTCTGATAAAAAGTCACCTTGCAAATTTACACGTTATAGAAACATACAAACTTTCTGTCTAAAATTCTACTATCGAATTTTAGCGCTAAAAGATCTTAAATAAATCTAGCTAAGTGAGTATTAAGTTTCACTTTGTTTTACGACCTAAACATCAATAAACAGAAAGATTGCATGTGGGCAAGGTTTCAACGACAAAAATCAATAAAAATATAAAATCTGTATTTTTACCTTCTTGAATAAAACTAAAAGCGACGGCCGCCATTGCTTTTCTGACAATCCTCACAAGTTACAATGGACGAGTTTTCCAAAATAATACACATTTCAGTTTAAAACATAACATTATTGTACGAAGTATATATACACTGTCTGTGACTAAATGTTTCCCGATCATTGTTTTGAAAGGAAAGTATAAATTAGAGGCCAGACGTTATACATATTTAACGAGCGGTAAGGTTTCCATATAATTGACTATTCATGAACAAACGGTCACAAAGCAAAGATCAAATGCGTAAGACTGTAAAAGCTTTGGTTTGGCTTGTATACGCGGGTTGAAATTTTAGAAATTTTGGTACTAGGTAACTAGGGAATAAGGTCTGGTCACCTAATTCAATATCAGGTCACCCTATATCAATGACGACTTATTCATCAATAAAAATGCATTTTTGCATGAATTACGAATTATTATTATGCACTCACGTGCACTTAACCAATCAGCAATCGTCGAGAGGGTCACGTGCCGATCTAATATTTTACGATATTGGACAGGAACATATTACCTTATTGGACAGTGGCGAATCGTGGCTTTTTTTCCTGGTTTTTCAACCATTTTCAGATATTTTGTCAATTGCAAGCATACGACAAGCGATATGGCAGAGTAATAAAAAGAATTTGGGACATTAATACAGTTTTTTCTACCCGTTTTGTTCAAAATTATAAAAGCGCGGGAAAACTTGTCTTCGCGAAATTCATTTGTTTGCAACTGCCTCGAGGTTAGTAATATTATTTTTTTCGTTAAAATTAGGTCAAATTTCATTTAAATATACATGGGAATTGAGTTTATTTATGCACACATATTTGTAAACACATTTACAAGTTTATTAACTTTTTGTTTTGTTTTGATTCTATCGACGATTTGCATTAATTTGTCAGTTTTCGTCAAAAGTATTTGTCACATTTAAGACATTTAATAGGGTGCAATGCAACTGAAATGGTTTGACCAAACGATCTGCCATTAGCCAATATATCTGTAAACCATTAAGCTACAATTCACCCAAATGGCAGGAGAGTCTTGCTCACTAGACACTAGTGGGTTATAAACTGATATGCCGAATGTTTATACTAGAACATACTGTTTATAAAGTGTTTATTTCATTCTTAATAGGCCACATAAAAAATAGTTGGTTAGCGTCCTCCCCCGCCCACAAAAAAAGGCCCCGCACAGGATTTTGATTATTGATCAACAGGCTCTAATATATGTAGTATTTTTGTTGACTGTAGTGAATTGTGTTAATAAATTGCGAAATGAAAATGACGGTACGAATCATATTTTGAAAATATAAAAAATATCTGTACTGCATGGGAAAGTCCAGTTTCGAACCTTAAACCAAGGCATTAAAAACTTGTATAAATTTTAAAAAACCCGCCCGCCCACATTTTGGCAAAAGCTAAGGACGCTAACCAACTATTTTTTATGTGGCCTTATTCCAATAGCCTCGTTTTGATGTGGTTGTTTCCTCATGTTTGTGTGCATTGTGCAGCTTAAACCTGGTGAAAAAGATTTAACCTTGAAGTAGTGATGATAATAAGAAAGTTGCATATATTGACTGAGAGAGATTACACAACTACCTAAAAAATACAAGCAGATTTAACACAGGCAAAACAGGTGAGGAAATTAAAAACATTTACTTTGTCTTTCGTCGCTAACAGGAACAGACCATGTCACAAGGTTCCTGGCAGTTCTACCCTCCTGTTCAACTAAACGGCGTACTTGATCTTGACTGTTGGTTCGATGTAGCCCTTTATAACTTGACTACAACAAAAAGTTAAACTCATTAGGCCAACAGATATATTGACAGTGGCGTAGCCAGCCCGACAATTTAGTCCCGCTATGCAAATTCAAAATTATTATCATTATTCATTTCTTTAGAAATTGATTGTTTTCACAGTCAATGAACATGAAAATATTTGCATAGCGGGACCAAATAGTCGGGCTGGCTACGCTACTGTATATTGACAGCTGCTCGGTTCATCGTCACACACCACAGGTTCGATTCCTGAGGTTGCATTTTTTGCAGCTGTTCCTGGTTAGGTCTGAAAAATGTATATAAATTAATTTACACTCAATAATTTCCATCTTTTGGACCCTTCAACTATTATTGAATCGAGTGAGATGCCAATAAAATCTTGATATGTTGGTTTAATTACCCAGTCGTGATATTTAACAAAGTCGCGGTGAATATTCCCCGATAATCACCGAGCCTGAGACGAATAATTGTTTTAGTATTTTTGCACAAGTTTTTTTGTGTTTTTTTTTTCTGGCCTGAATTCATTTTAATTTCGCTTATTTCTTTATCACTAACTTCAACAAAACGGCTAGCCGCCATTTTGAAAATTTCAATTTTGTTATATTCACCTGTGGGTGAATATAACAGATTAATACGTCAAATTTGAACAATCACCTTGTAGGATTTGTTATGTTCACTTGTGCAAAAATACTAATACACAATGGTTTGTTGGTTGCTCTGGCGAAAATACAATACACACATGGCGATGAACTGACCATTTCTTGCATAAACCAAAACATAGATAATGAAGCCTATTTATTCTTGCATAAACCAAAACATAGATAATGAAGCCTATTATGCCTGCATCAAGTTTCCTAACTTTCTTATTCTATTGATTACGTCCACACCAAATAAAAGCTTTAATGTTTATAGTGTCCAATCAAAAGGTCCCATGGGATTTGTCAATTTCACATAATAAATAATTTATAACAATATTAACAATCAGATGTGTCCGTTTGCTAGTCATTTTATACACAGACTCGATCTGTAGTCCAAATTTGTCCACTCTAGAGAAATGACTTGTCTCTAGTGGTCTCTACTTGCAATAGATTACAAAAATCAGGCCATTTTAATTAAAGCACAATATATTCATATCTGGTGCATATCAACAATATATTTCAATTTAATACGATTGTGATAGTTGATCAATATTCTATTTGAAAATATATGACATAATCAGATCAGCTTGTCAAGAAATATTTTGGTAAAACAATCCTAACCTTCGGTGAAATATTCTTCTTGTTGTTTGTATAATTATTGCGGTATCTTTCTGCTCGAGTCTTGTGTGTATTTCCATTCCCAATATTTCCATTGCTATCTCTTTCCTGGCCATTTTGCCGTCTTCGCTCGCTCTTATCAACGTGGGACATTGTTTAAAACTATACTACATTTTGAAAACCTACTTTTCCCTCTACAAGTTAGCAGATTCGTTTTAATCAACCATACTTTGCTATAATTCAAATTTTCGTATACAAAATGTTGATTTCATGAGAAGCAAAACAAACCGCATATCTCCCGCGCAACGGCGTCAAATGTATCAGGGTTCTTTCTCCGTACGGAGAATAGTAACCACCGGTCTTCAGAAGAATCTCAAAAATTACTTCAGAAAACCAAAACGATAGACTTTCATAAAAGATTTTGAAGCCCTCCGATGCTTAAACAAACAAAAATGGAAATTTATGGTTACGTGAGCAAGGAAAGCAATGAAATATGAGACTTTGTAATCTTTGTTTTTCATAAGTATTTATCCCCGGTCGGGTCTTCCTAATTTTATTTATTTATTTAATCAAATCAAAATAATGAGAATTTTATTGGATAAATTGGCAGTTTTTGAAAGGCATTGCCAATAATCATATAATAAGGCTAACTTAATTTTTAAAAAACCCAAAATGGACTGGAAATTTTGCTAGAATTAGACGATTTGTGAAAAAAATATTTGACATTGTAGTCACCGGAATTTTTCCGTATATATGTTCTTTGACATGCGCGATAGCGTCAGCGGGAAAATTAAATTTTATAAACACAAAACAACGTACAGCAAATTATTCAACATTTATATGAAGGAAATTTGATCTTTTTAATAACTAAATAAATTTTAAAACTTTTAAGCTATATTAGTGTTTTATCTGTGCTATGAGCACTTATCTTTTACTCTTGGAAGCCGTGAGGAGCGAAGATTTGGGGTAAGTTCAGTTATATTTCGTATTTCGAATCTCAAGTACTCTCAGACAGAAATTCGGTTGGTAGATGCAGCTACCAGAAAAATACAAGGAGAAATTCGACGTTCCGACCGAAGGCCCTTTGGCTTCATCGGGAAGTAAGAAAGTATTTTTCAGGAAGTTGCATTTACCAACCGAAAATATATTGCCACCGTTCATAATACTCTCAGACAGTGTGCATGATTTTAATAAATTAAGATAGATGCAGATTTTGACTACAGTTACCAATAACCATTAACCAATTAGATGCATTTAATCGATTTAATCTACCAATTAACTGCAAATTGCATATTTTAATAATACACTATAAGCCTGTGAGAGATACCAGTAATATAATGCTGGGCCATTCCATTTAATGTATACACCCCCCTATGGATGAGAATTTCCGAGGGGGTTTGAAAAAGCAGTTTCTGAGGGGTTGTGTGCATCAGCATCCTTTGATCTTTGCATTTTTTTCTGAGGGGTAAGGCAAAAATTTCTTAATTTCTGGGGGGTGTTTGTGTTGGCACTTTGATCTTAGGGGTTCAAATTTTATTGAACTCGTCCATGGGGTACATTAGATGGAATGGCCCAATGGTAGTGGACACCAAATCTGAACCCCATTATTTTGAATATTGCCAACAAATGGCAGTGGTAAATTTTTGGGCACCAGATCCTGACATGTAAGCATTATTTGTTGGGCACTGTATTTGGGTCTGGTTTTATAGTACAGTGTGCCATAAGCACACCGAACCAATTTTATTTACTAGCTAATTATACTGTATGCTATGACTATACAATGTAATAAAATCAAATTGGTTTGCTGTCTGAATTTGGTGACTTTTAACCATACAGTCCAATCATTGAAGGAATGCTGAACACTAATAGTATGATTAAACACACCCTTGATTAAAACTGTTGCGAGGCATGCATTGAACCAAATAATCATGATGAGCATGATAGGTTACCAATTATAGTATCAGGCGGATACTGTAGTACACTATTGATTACTGGATAATCAATACCACCCGATACCAGGCTACAATGGGAATTAGTAAAGATGATATGTTTTCAATTCACTTGTGAAATTTATAAAGTTTTTAAAATTATTCTCCTATTAACCAATTGATTGCATGCCAGCGCTCTCCTTGATGAGTAAAATTGTCTGGCATTAGAGTAAAATAATAAAGTAGGCACATTGGGGGCACAATGCAACTTGATGGATTAAATCTTTTAATGTGTTAACTTGCATACTGCAATCTTTTGTTCTGTGATAATTTATATTATTATATTGAAGACTTCACCTGGTCTTTACTTTTTATTTACAGTAGATCAGAACTTGTAGTAAGTTTTAAGTAATTTAATATTGAGCAGATTTTTCAATTGCCATTACAGTAATTAATTTTCCATCATCATTTAGTTTTTTACAAGATTTTGTTAAAGAAAACTACAATGAAATTAACATAAATGACGGGGATGATGATGGTGTTACTGCCGTGCACATTGCTGCCGGACTAGAGAAAAATATAATGCTCGAATATCTTCTCAATCATGGTTCTGCAATTGATAGCCAGACACAAGAAGGTCTTACACCATTACACGTTGCAGCTATGTGGGGTAGGAGTGAGCAAGTAGCCACACTGTTAAACCACAAAGCGGATTGCTCAATTGTGGATAGCAACGGCTACAATGCTGTGATGCATGCTGTTAACTCTCAAGAAGATGGGAGTCAAACCTGCGTAGATTTGATTTTATCGCATCAAGAAAACCGTAACGGTTATTCTAAAGAAAATTTTGAAGAGTTGCTTACAGAGTTGTCTTCTGGCTTGAGCAGTCCTGGACAAGTTAGTTCCGCAGACTCAAACTCTCCGACTTTCTCGTATTCGACAATAACACGTCTTGCCTCTCTTACGAATGTTGAATGCTCTGAATATGGAACGATGCATGGTTATGGTTCGGATATTTTAACAGAGTGCTCAACATCTGATGATTTGAGCACAGAGGAGCAGAAGGATGTTGATGAGGTGACAGATGACGATACGTGCATCTATGAGACTGCAGACGAAGAGATCGAAGAAGATTTAAAGAAAGGAAATCAGAATCATGGAAGTTTAGGGCGGATGGAATACGGAAGGGCAAATAAAGGGAATATTCAAGGAGTCAAAGAAAAAGGTATAGAAATGGGATCTGTAAGTAAATTTAGCGAGGGACTGGTTAAGGAAGATA